CATTTTAAGCTAATCCATCTAGAGGTAAATTACCCTAGTAGAGAGTTTAAAAGGTTTTGGAATGCTTAAGAAAAAAAATGAAAGAAAAAAAACACATGGCCATTTTAGCCAATTAAGAAAACATAGGGCTAATATATGCACTTAAGGTTTATTATTATCAGCATTCGGACACCAAAAAGCTATTTTGGATACCCTAAGTAAAAAAAAAAAAAATCCTTGCCACCGTCATTCATGCTAAAGTACTAGTCGTATTGACCACCACCATTGGGTATGATGAAATTATGTCTACTTATAAAGACTTACCTATCGAAGGAGCAAACCATGTTCTTGCACTCTGCATCACGATCTAGTGTTGTAACAAATTCATTATTTTGGCCTTGGTTGATAATGGCTCTATCTTGAATGTAAGCTTCTTAAGAACCATTAAAAAACTATAAATTAAAGTCAAATACCTCTCTCTAATCCAATGAATAGTTTGAGCTTACAACAACATAATACAACTAATCTTATGAGCCATTTCTATCTTTTGCACCATTAGACATGTCCAATATAAAATTTAATTTCATGTTATTAATGTTTATATTTCATTCAATTATTATTTGGTTGACCTTGCTACATGCCAACAAAGTAGTATCATGATCATCCCTTGTCTACGAAAAGGTCAAAATGGTAAGAGATGAAAAGTTGTTACTCTCTTCTACGCCGAGGAACCTAGAATTGCCCTAGTTATTAATAACATCTAACCAATCCCACAAAAATCCTTCAAGGGATTCATTTTTAAACTTGGCAATCTAAAATATGGTAAGACAACACGACATAAAAATGATTAAAAAAAAACATGAAAATGACATGATTTTAATTTTAACAAAAATCATATATGAGTTTAACAAAATAAAAAATATATATTTTGTGTTTTCGTATCAACATGAATTGTGACAAACAATTTTCATGTAAAACATGATATGAACACACGAATTGCAAATATTTTTCATGACATGAATATATAAATTACTACATTTTTAAGGTTAGATGTTTGCTAATTTAGGTACAAAAGAGATAATATGATAAAGATGGATACAAATGAATACAAAGAATAAGAAATACAAGTTTTTGAACACTTGATAGCTCTTGAACCTATGATGTAATGATCTTTCTTTTGAATCAAATCTCTTTCACAAAATGAAATCTTTTTTTTTTGAATGGTTTTTAAAGGCTCTTTTTATAGTGAAGGATCAATTATAGTGATTGTGAATGAAAGGGATAAAAAGAGTTGTTGGAATCATTAAATTTTTTCTTTTAATTTGCTGCCTACAACACATGAATCTATCCTTTTACTTATAGGATCGATTATTTAAAACAACCATTTAAAAAATATATCTGTTAGTGACCTAGGGATCGATCCTTTCAAGCTTTAAAGACAAAGCGAGTATTTTGTGTGTTTTGAAAAATTGATTCTTTTAAGGATTGGGTCAATCCTTTAGGAAAAACAAAGGTGATAGCTCAAAAATAGATATGCAATCCAAGAAGAAGTGAATTGGATTATGAGAAAACGAAAACTCTAAGTAAAGCACAATTGAAAATTCTCTTTTCTTTAAAGCAATAACATTAAGATTATGTTAAGTCCTAAGAAAAATATTTTTAATATTAATTGAACTTGCATTTCAAGTGACGTAGAGAATTTCAATTTCAAAATACACAAAAAGTCTAAAACGAATTTAGGTTTGAAAAACATTCTTAAAGTTTTAGTTATTTTAAAATGTTGATCAATTTAAGGATAACAATTTTTTCCTTTTGATATGACAACTTTAAAATAAAATTTACCTTTTATAAAAACTCTTCCTAAATTTGTTCAAGAAGTGAGTAAAAAATTTTGAAAATAGTTTTGAAAAACTCTCCTTTAAACAAAGGTAGTTTAAAAATATATTTCCAAAATTCATAGCATAATATGCCAACACAATATATAATTATTGAAACACATATAGCAATAATAGAATTATTTATAAGTTAAGTCATTTATGCACAAATGTTTAAGATAATAAAATTTGCCAACACAATGTATATACATTTAAGCACATGTAGGAAAAATAGATTCATTTAACCACATGACATATTCATTTGTCAAAAAAAACTTGTTCATCAAAATATATCAACCCTTTTTGTCATGAGAAAAAGAATCAAATTCAAGATATAAGATAATTTAACAATATAATTTCGAGCACAGAAGAGACAATTTTATTCAATCAAGAGTCATAATAAATTTGTGCATTTAAGTGCAATTAATATAATGAAGTTTAAATATATGTATTAAAGTATAAAAGAATAAATATCCAATTTAATTGTTTTAGCACGATGTCATAAAGCCATGATAACATGATTTTTATGAGCAAAGAAATATAAAATTGTAAGTAGATAAGTCTCATAATTCATGTCAAACAATCATGTCTTAGTTAAAATGTACTTTGAATGTAGGATTTTCAAGAAAGTATTTATTCACAGCATTTGACAATATTAAAAAAAAAATAGACACTTAAGCATATATACATATATGCATATGTGTGTGTGTGTGTGTGTATTCAATCTTATACCTAATGTTATATCAAAATGTTAGCTTCTTATATAGAAACTAGTTAAATTCAAGCAAATATAATAGTCTAAGACTTCTCCCCTTTTTATAAGAGAATGAATAATCAATTTAAGACACATATAATTTGTGCATGAAAGACACAATTTATATCAAGAATATGCAAATTATATTTCAAGCGTAGCTACACTTTTGCATGATAAGCACAATCTATTAGTATAGGTGTCTAACTTTCAAGAAGCAAATATATCTCAATGGAATGTTCTAATATATATCTTAGTTAATAATTATCAAAAAACAAATTTCCACAAACATATTAATCCAAAGAAATATTCAACAAGAATCATTGTTCATATATCATTTAATGTCATTAGTATCAATAATCTATAAGATTCTAACCACCAAGCTTTATCAAAAGTCATAAAAGTATTATTGTCCAAAAGTTTCAAATAATTCAAAATATAGCAATATACTTAATCCATACATATATAAGCATTTAGACACAAGACAATAGAATCTATTTTAAAGGTGTTGAACTCAATAAATGAACATATATATGAGTTCATACTGTATGAGTTAAAATTATTTAAAATTTAAAATATAAGTTCATAATTTATATGTTAAAACTATTTAAAATTTAAAAAATATCAAAGTATTCGACTTATAGGTATGTTCAAAGAATTATCTTAACAAAACTTTCAAGCATTAAATCCCATTAAACTCGTAAATGAAAACCTTATATACCATTAAACTCATATATGATAACCTTATATATCATAGCGTCAAAATATTCACCTCTATCTTTATTAAGTTCTGTTGATGTGTTCATTTGGTTGTGATTATTCTATACCAAATGTTTTAAGTAAGTTTTTAGTGTGTTTTGACTTGATTGATGAAGATAACATACTTATTTCAAATTTCTTGGTAAAGATATTCATTAATAATATCAAGAATCAGTGACGGATCTTGACATTTAATTTTGGAGGGCCAATTAATGGTATGTAATATGCTTTATTTTATTTTTCAAAAAAATATTTTATCATACTTATTAATGCAAATAATATACGAATAAAATCATGAAAAGTTTATAAAATTATAAAACAAAAATATTATTGTGACAACATTATATTTTTAATAATAACAAAATTTACAATTAATGGTAGAATTATTAATTACACAATTTATCAATGAATTATGGGAACTTTTTTTATTTTTTGGTAATTTAAAATTGAAATAAAAAAAAGATATGAATAAATCAATCATTAAACATTTTATTAAAATAAGAAAACTAAATATACTCTGAAAAAATGATGATGAAATTCTAAGATTTAAAGTTACAGTGTTTTTTTTTTTATCTTTTTGTAAAGTAATTCCAATATAATTTTTTTTATTGGAAAACAATTACAACAACATAAGATATAAATTTAAAGTAAAAATAAAAGTGGAAAATGATATGGAGAGGAAAAGTTGAAGTAAGCTAAAAAGAAATTAAAGTTTAATTCTTAAAACTTGTAATTTTTCATTTTCTAAATTTCCTAGGTTTGGCCTCTCTTGTACCAATAAAATAAAAAAGGAAAACTCATTTGATATAGGAAAAGTTAAAAATTTTAATTTTAATTTATATTAAATTTTTATGATTATGATTTAAAACTTATAGCAAGCCTTTTAATTTTAAAAATTTACAAGTAATGATATTTGAGTTTAATAAACAAATAAATACTAAAATGATTTGACCATCTCTTAAATTGTAATATATATAAATTAAATAATGAAACCATAAAAAAATTTATAATTTTAATTTAGAAGAAAATTTAAATATATTTAATATAAATATATATACATATCCTAAAAGAGTAAAGAGGTGTAAAAAATTTTTAGGGGCCAAGACCTCAATCCATCGTCTTTGTCAAGACTATTAATTGTTAAGTTATAAAATGTTTAATATTCTACAAAATTTTTGTGATTGATTAAATTTATTTTATCAAATATTTGTTTAAATATATTGTTTATATGATTTCATATCTTTGTAATAATTTTATTACATAAATATTTTATGTATATATTTCGGTACGAGAAAATATATAACACAAATTCTTAAAAGTTGATGGAAATCCGTTGGTTTTAACCTTACAAGAAGTTTACTTGGAGTTTGAAGGGTTTTTTTTTTTTTTCAATTTTTTATTTTGAAAAATATTGATTTTTGTTGAATTTTAAAAAATAAACAAAAATAATATTTTTTATCATAAAAATGATATTTTCGTTGGATTTTGAAGATTAAATAAAAAAATAATATATAAAATTACTCTAATTTTAAGATAAATAATATTATTTATATAATTTAAAAATACAATTAAATAAAAATAAATGAGAGAAAAAATTTGTTCTTTTTCTGAAATTTAAAAAAAATCTCAGAAGAGTTTTTAAGAGAAACGACGGCGTGTGGTTGGAGATGAAATTCCAACATGTAAAACCCTTAGTAGTAATAGAGAGAAGATTTGGTCTGCAAAACGCCGAAACACTTTGATTTAATTCTGCTTCGGTGAAAGTTTGAGAATACGTACTAGTAATCTTCATCTTACCGACCCAAATGAGAGGAACCTTTGGCAGAAACCTGTCTAACCCTAACTATCACTACCTTACGTCTATTGCCAAACGCACCTCTTTTCTCCTCCAATGCTCCTCCTCATCCCCTTTCTCCTCTTCCTCCAGCTCTGGCAGCGGCCGTGGCCGGGGCCGTGGCCGTGGGGGCGCCCCTCCTTCTGGTTCTTTCATCGATTTCACTTCGGCCCTGGGAAAATTGGACTCAGAGAACTCAAAGCGCGACTCGACTGAATCACCTGCCGTCGGATTAGGCGGCGGCCGTGGAAGAGGAACACCCTTATCCTCCGAACCCATTCTTCCCTCTTTTTCCTCTTTTGTTTCCCAAACTGGGTCTGGTCGAGGCCGAGTCACCAATGAGTCGGTGCCACCGAAATCTCCGCCTCCAGGGCAACCAAAGCAGCCGATATTCATCAAGAAAAAAGATGAAAATGAAACTGATTCCTCCGCCAAGCCAGCCACTGAGTCGATTCAGTTGAGTGAGCCCATTGTCCCATCTAACACACCCTCAGTCTCAGTTCTATCAGGTGCTGGGCGTGGTAAGCCCGTGAAGCAACCAGAGCCTGCCTCGCAGATGAAGGAAGAAAATAGGCATATCCGGGTGACGCAGCAGCCCCCACTGAGCCAGGAACAAGCGGTGAAGAAAGCAATGGGCATACTTTCAAGGAGAAGTGAAAGTGAAGAAAGTGGGATGGCAGGGAGAGGAGGAAGGGCGGGTATGGATATGGGAATGGGTAGAGGTAGAGGTAGAGGTAGAGGTATGGGTAGGGGAAGAGGAAGAGGAAGAGGAAGAAGGCAGAGAGAAGACACAAGGACAGTAGAGGACTCCGATGAAGAGTATGGAGGCGGACTTTATCTCGGGGACGGTGCGGATGGGGAGAAATTGGCTAAAACTATTGGAGATGACAATATGAATAAGTTGGTTGAAGGGTACGAGGAGATGAGCGATAGAATCTTGCCTTCTCCTATTGACGATGCTTACTTGGACGCTTTGCACACCAACTGTATGGTGAGTGGCTCAACTTTTAAAAGTTTGTTCCACGATTATTATTATTATTATTATTTTAAATTGTTGGAAATCATAAGAATTATAAATTCAATTGTTTGCTACTTTTCTTTTATACTATCAGCTAAAACAGAAACCGGCCTGATGACTTTATATATATATATATATATATATAGTAAAGTTTACCTCTCTCTTGTTGAAATGTATTAAGTAAAATTTTAAGCTTCCTTTGATTTTAGGTTTGAATATTAATTGATTTCTTCGCTAACATCCCATTAGCATGATTAGTAGGTTTTTTTAGGATTTGTATCATATGTAATCTGGCTTATATGCATATAATTCATGGGGATTGTTCATTTGGTTAGTAAAGTACTTTGTTCATATTATGTTCACATTACAGCGCTTACATTCTCTAATTAGTCTGGCATAATTTAATATATTACTGCTGATTTCCAATGATTCACTGCTGATTATAATGTATACCGAAGTGTTTGAGATTCCTGAAGTCATTCAAGGAGTGTACTTTTGTTTGTTCTTGAAAATTCTTGAATTAGATAGGCTGTTTTTGGCTTATTGTTGTTTACATTGATGAACTAAGAAGATTGGAAATTGTTTCTTGTGTGCTATAACAATTTGGTCCAGTAAGTCATCTGATTCTTTTTCTTGTTAATTACTGTTTGTAAAGGCTCTTTTTGGTAAGTATTAAATGATTGTCAGCATACTTGGAGCTTTAGGATTGTGTAGAAAGTATATATTTGGTTGCTATAAGTTTCCTTATAATACGTTTTCAAAGGTGTGCAAAGCAAACCTTTTGCTGACAAATAGATTTATATTGTTGTTGTAGATACAACTGATAATGCACATATGCACATGTAAACGAGGAATAAACTAGATTAAACTTATTTGAACATATTCTTAATTGAACATTGCAACAAGATTATGCATGGACTGTACCCAAACTTTGAGTTTTTTGTGTTAATCTGGATTTCAAAGCTTTTATGTATTTATTTATTTCATTTATTTGACAAGAGATATATTTTGTTTTGGGTTTCAGATAGAGTTTGAACCAGAATATTTGATGGAAGAGTTTGGCACTAACCCAGATATCGATGAGAAACCACCTATGTCCCTTCAAGCTGCACTTGAGAAGGTGAAGCCTTTCCTCATGGCATATGAAGGAATTCAAAATCAAGAAGAGTGGGAGGTATATTCTAATGCTTTGAAATGTGGTTCTTGGTTTTTCTTTCCTCTGTGTCAGAAATAGGATGCATTTCTTCTATATAAATGACCCTGAGAACAAGAAATATCTCTTCTTACTGATATAGTATGACTTTTAACAAAATTTTCTAGAGGACATACCGCTCTGTGTTAATCCCATAGTTGAATTGGTCTAGTTTAGGCCCTTATTTTGTTAACAATTCTCTTGTGCTTGGGCAAGGCTTAAGTTAAATTAATGGAGAAAAGAACTTTTATTCTAAGCAGGAAGATCACTGTAAGGAGTTATGCAGGTCTTTGTGAAAATTTCTGACTTCAAAAGTTTTGTTGTATTACATATTTGTAAAAATTTCTGAATAATTTGTTGTATTATATGTTTATCAGTCGTCACACATACTGCTTTGTTGTATTACATGTTAAGTACTCAAATAACTAATATATTTCTTTTTTGTGGCTTTTACACTTCAAAAGAATCACACTGCTTAGTGGCAAAAATATTCATTGTGCTTGTCAGCAGTTATGTATTATCAAGTTCAGTTCCCTTTAAGGAAATAAAATTCAGTTCTTTGTCAATGAAGTCATTCTTTTGGACCTATTCAGCAGTATTTTATGGTGATATTATTATGCTTTGACACATGATATGGATTCTTTCCTTGAAAGTCTTTTGCATGATGACTTGTCCCTGTAAATAGTTGTATATTATCTTTCCCACATTCTTAAAATTTTTCAGGAAGCGGTCAAAGAAACGATGGAGAATGTACCTCTACTGCAAGAAATTGTTGATTACTACAGTGGACCTGATAGGGTAACTGCAAAGAAACAACAAGAGGAGTTAGAAAGAGTTGCAAAAACCATTCCCGAAAGTGCACCTGCTTCTGTGAAGCAGTTTGCAAACCGTGCAGTTCTCTCTCTTCAGGTTACTGTTCATCCTTAACTAATTTTTAATTTCATACACGAATTGTGTTTGAGGAAAATGTTCTCTGCTGACATCGGGTGTTTGTGAGATAACAGTTATTTAACTGTAGCTTCCTTGCTTTCTTTTGGGTCTTGTTTAATAGATTTGAGACATAAGGAGACAAATTGTCTTCCTTTGGAGGTATGAGATCCTTGGCACTACAAGCAGGTTAATGACAGTAATAACACATCCCTTATGCTTGACTTTTGCTTCCCTTAATGATCAAAAAATTTTCTTATTAAAATAGAAGTAAGCCTAATGGCACTATTTGAATGATGCATAAGAAGACAGGAAGTCTAAAGTGGAAGTTTGGTTTGCCTTCCTATTTTTCATCTTTTTCTTTCTTAAATAGAAGGTTAGAAATGGATCATCCTGCCTGGCTTCTCCCGAGTCCTGGGTGGCAGGTTTAGTTGGTTGGATTGAGCATATGAGAATGTAGAATGTCTGAAAATTACTTGTTGTGAGTGACTTCTGCACTGAGTATCATTCTGTTATGTTATTACAATATAAGAATGCTGAATATAAGTTGTAGTAAGAAGTTTAAAGAAGGCTAGCATGTAGTTTTGAACTGCTAAAACCATGTATGAATGAGTTTGTTGCTAAGTGCTCTTGTGGATTTACTTTGCTGGTATCTGTTGTAAAGTGGAGGGCTTGGGACCACCTTTCTCGACACATTCTGATGGAGTATGTTGGATTCAGCAATATATTGAAGTTAGAAAGTGATTATTGGGGTTTAGAACTGGAATGGCCAGATTAAGTCTCTCTCTCTCTCTCTCTCTCTCTCTCTCTCTCTCTCTCTCTCTCTTTGTGAGAAAGGAAGGATGTGGATTCTGTTTGTGGTTGGAAATGGAAGAGCAAGCCTGGTTGAGGCTGTCTGGTGTTGGGGAATAGGGTAATGAGAGAAAAGGATTTAAAGGACAATTAGGGATTCAAAATGACAGCTATTTGGGGGTTATATAAGTTGTTCAGAAAAGGTTTAGGCTGCATAAGTAGAGATTAAACCTTAGGAATCTCATCTCACCTAAGGTCTCCTAACCAATCAAGGCTAGAAGTAGGGCCTTCATACCTCTCACAGGACTAGGGTTTCCTAAGATTCCACATATTCATGTGCAACAATGTGACCATTATTATGCTTATACAATTTATTATAATATAATTATTCTAAATGCATTTATTCATATGCAAGTTTTTTGTATTTTAACAGGTTGCTGTAAATAAGGTACACTAATTTATATTGGAGAGTATGGCAGATGACATAAAATATTCAATTAACTTGATAGATAAGTGAGGCTTAATACATATGTATGATGTTAAGGATTCAAATGCTGTCACATGCATTTCAATTTTTTTTTAGGGTAAAAAAAGGACGAAATGGAAAAAACCTTTACTGCATCAAACAGGCCTAACTGATCAGTTTAGCATCATTATGGGTTTTAAGGGTTATCTAGAAGAAGAGAGTATAAGGGTTTTAGGGGTGACTCGACAACTACAATAATAGGTTTTAGTCCAATATGATGTGCTTTGGTGATTGATGCATTTTAAAATTTGCTAGACTGATGACACAATTTAAATAAAACTGAGAAAACTCAATAAATTGAACCAGCCACAAAATTACTGAAATGCTACAAACTACATTAAACTTGGCCTAAACTTAATCCCTCAAGATCACGTGTCACCCCTAATTCTTTATAGGAATTCCAAAACAAAGTTTGTGCCTTACAGATAGCTATCTCTCTCTATTTGTACTTTAAATGAACCAACCTCTTCCACCAGTTTGACTGGGAACCTCTGATCTTCAATTTGGAAGATACCATACAATGTGTCAAAATTCTAGAAAACCAGGAAACCCATGTAAAAACCTGCAAATGTACTGCATAAAGAGTGGATAAGTAAGACAAATTTTTCCCAGTTTCAAATCTATGGGCCTCACTAGTTGAAGAAAATTTCCTTTTTACAACTCTCACTTCATAGAACAGTATAAGTTGACAAGCTCTTGAAACTTAAAATTCAAAACATGCATCCATGTTGCATCACCAAAGGTGTCTTTTGACTTATTACTGAAGATTTTAACTTCCTCAATTAGTCTCAATTAAAATGTAGCCTCAATTCAGGTGTAGTTTAGATATTTTTCCTCCCTTTTTATATTCAGATTACAACTTTTGAAACCTCTAAACCTGCATTCTACTTTGTCTTGTTTCCATTGTTTATAGTTACAAATGCTGCACTTAAATAATGAAAAGAAAAGATATTTAGACACTAGCAAAAAGTAAAAAAACGAAAAATGTGGTTGACCCTAGGATTTGTTCCCCTCAATTGTCACCAGTTCATTTAGCGGTCTTGTTTTTAAAACATTGCTTTACATGAATGCTGTCAGTGGTGTTTCCCTTCACATTTTTGTTTATATATACACTCTTCATAAGATGGGAACATAAGACAGGCTTGAGGTAAATCCATTTGTGGTTTTTGGGGCTTGAGGGTTGGGCCATTTAAGGAATTTAAGGTTTTTTTGATTTGGTAGAAACTTGTGTTTTGGATAGAAGTTAATTAGGGTTTGTTTTGACCAGAATTTGACCTCTAAGGGTGTGTGGATGGGGTATTTGGAGGAAGGATTTTATTTCAATCAAGGTTTTCTGATGTTCAAAAAATGAATTTACTTATTTGGTTAAAAATAAGAGAGAATTTCAAAATTTAGGTGGAATTTCAAGAGGGAATTTGAAGTGCTCAAATCCCCTCTTTAAATTCCACCTAAATAGGTGGTTTTTCAAAATTCCTTTAAATCCCCCATCTCTTTATTGCATATAACCTATCATAAAATACAAAACTAAAAAAATAAATACATTGTATTTAACTTTAATATATATTTTATTTTTTTATATTATTAATAATATCTATATTTTTACAAATTTAATGACACTCATATTGCATATTTGTATCATTATTCTTCTTTTATAGTTATTTTTTATTTCATCAAATTCTAATATACTAAATATCTTTCTAAGAAATATTTTTCCAAACAAAATAATTACAAATGCTAGCATTTCGAAATGATGCATTGTAAAATGTCTTCATTTCAAATTTCTTCAAACTTTCAAAAATCTTCATCCAGACGCACTTTTAAAGAGGGATGGAATTGAATTGAAAGAGAGGTTGAGGAAAAGTCTGGGCAGAAAAGATTTTAAGGATCTAAAGATGTTTGTTTGATTCTTTTATTTTAAGGGTTTAATTGGATAGGATTGGCCTCAAAACATTGTCATGATTTTTAGGAAAGGGGGTTTTATTTGGATGCTGAATAAAAAAAGAAACTAATTTCAAGAATATTGTTACTGGTCTGAAAAGAGTGGCTTAAAGCTAGATTGTTGAGCCATAGATAAGAGAAAAGGAGAGAGAAATAAAAATGATGAGAAAGTGAGAGAGGATGGTAACACAATCACTAGTCAACCATGCCTCAATAAACCAAGTAACCCATGATTGTAAAAAATTTAAAGCCTCCTAAAATATGAAAGTTGTATATGTACTTATAAGAACACTTGGAGTAGGAACTCTGCTAGAATTAGGTTGACATTCATACGGGTACTGTTGTCCAACGGCTGGGCTACCCACTTAGAGCCACAGCAACCCAATTGTGGCTGGGATTGGATATGGATTTTTAGCCTGAATGCAGTCTGGCCTGATTAGATTATTATATTAATAAATAATATATTTTTACTTTTATTCTAAAATATTTTTTAAAATATTAAATATTAATATAAAATAATATTCTATTATTTTAATAATAAAATGATAGATAAATTGGTAGGCCGGGCTGACTTTTAGAAGGGAGAATTGAATCCATCTACTTGGACTTGGTCATGGGTTTTAAGCCCTAGCCAGGCTTGACATGATTAGATTTTATATTAATATATTTTTATTTAATTTTAATAGTAAAATATATTTTTAAAATATTATAATATTACTATGAAAATGATAATTTTATTATAAATGGGCAGGCGGTGGGGCTCAGCTTTTAAAAAGGGAGGGAAAGGGATGGCCCAACCATGAACATCTCTACAAACAGGCAAACCAACTTAGACTCCAAGGAAATCAATCCCAATTTCTAGAAGCGCCTTAGAATAACCCAGAATTGATTAAAAATCTTATGTAAATCGGAGTAGCAGTAGTAGACTATCATTTTTCCTCCAAATTTAAGTGAGAATTTTGGATATGAAATCTTAAATGGCTGAAATAGAAATTATAAAACTTGTTGTATCAAAATTTCTATTTCCATGGCTTCTTCACGTGGGTCTTATTACAGATCTATATGTTGGCATTGCATCCTGGCATTTCATGATTTTGTTGCTGTTAAGATTATGATTATTTGATAGCTCAAGACTATTTGTTCTCAAATATAATTCTTTATAATACTACCCCACAAAATACAAGCTAAATGGAAACGGGGTTGTCTATTGAAACACTCTTTCACTAATAAACTAGCCTGTTTGTTATAGATTCAGGAACAACATTAACATTATACTTGTTTCTCCTTTTGAGCTCTATACGGTGAGGGTTGGAGGCTATTAGTATGTTATGTAACTCTCATATACATGAACCAATTGAAGGTGTCCTTGTGGAGGTCTGAAGATTTCCCAACTGCCATTTAATAGCCCCATCATATCTTAAACTGATATTTTATACTTTGTTTAGAGGTGGGAGGATGTAGATATGAAGATAATGGAAGGTGTACGAGTGCTATGGTGTAGATAAATAGCATATTGATTGCTGACGTCAGCAATTCCATATAATTCTCTATGAGCTTTTCAGCACTCCTGATTAATAGACATTATTTTTTAGTTGAGATATTGCAACCTTGATAAGTTAAAATTATTTCTACAATATGATGGACTTTATAACTTTATGCCAACACTTTGGTAGCTTTGATGCTGTTATTTGAAGCCCATTCAACCATTTGTTATCATGTTTTTCTAGCACTAGTTTCTTTATCTATGTTGATATGTAACTCGTATTACTTATAGTTTCATGCACTTAAAGCTCCAAATTTGCCACCCATGTTGGAATGGGTTCCATTTTAAAATTGTAATATTAATTTGGTTTTAAAATGCTCAAAAGTTAATGGGTAAAAAACAAGTGTTTTTAGCGTCCTACTTAGATTTTCTGTAGGTGTACTTGTCTAATTTTAGTTACTAGTTAGAAAATTTTTACAATCTTATGTGAATTTGATTGATAATGCAGAGTAATCCTGGTTGGGGATTTGACAAAAAATGCCAATTCATGGATAAGCTTGCATGGGAGGTTTCTCAACAATACAAATAAATCTGGAATGCTTGTATTGTGATTTGGGGGGGGGGGGGGGGGGGTGAGATTTTGTTCTGAAGCATTCACAAGTTCTTTTTGTTGGGATCTGTGAAAAGAGGTTTGCTGAAAAGAGATTTTAATTTTATATTTGATCCCTCTGGAGAAGAAATAATTTTATTTCATAGTCATTTTGTTACATTTCTCTCTCTCTCTCTAGTGGTATCCTATTCTGCACGCTGTGCGTGCAACATTAATTTTTGTTTTAGGGTTTGACCCCTCAATGTGCAGAGCTAGTCAGTCGGCTTTGGTGAATAAATATATATTTTAATTTGAGAAGGCAACATGCTCCAGTTTGTTCTTCCATTCCTGGAACGAAAATGAGCACTTTTCTGATGATGAAGGTTTTTTTTTTTTTGGTCTTTTACCATACCATTTTATTTTGTAATCTTATTTTCGAAATAATTGTAGCTTTATGTATTTTATTTTATTTTATTTTATTTTTTGTACGAATTACATGCCATAAAATTTCTTTTAAATCTGCAAAAAAAAAAAAATAGTAATAAAATAAAAATTAAGTCCGACTCTTTCTTTCTTCTTCTCTCTCTTCTTACCTTTCTCCATCTCATGTTGATTCTATATCTACACCGTTAAAAAAAAATGGTTTTAGTAGAATCCAAAAGCACTCTTTGATTCCAGGATATTTTGGCTTTAATTGACTAAAAATTCTTTTATTTATCATCCACTGTTGTTAATGGATTGTTAGTCAACGGTTCCTAGTTGAGCCTGATCATTGAAGCCTTCCATGCCGCAATACCTGTATGTGATCCGGGGAAAAGGAAGGGGATAGGGTCTTTGGCAAAAGAGTCAGGGAGAGAAGATGGAGGTGGAAGAATATTTTTGCAAATTAGGAATAAAATGGAAAGGAAAAAGGAAGAATGAGAAGAATAAAATACTTTTTATGATCACCGTGATATTATAAAAATGCTCTAAGATTCACAATTTGCTTGCTCCACCTGAGTATTAAAAAAAAAATTTATTGCACTATAGTTTTCCATGAACTGAAATCCACTAAGAACAATGAGAAAAATCATTTAATTTTTTTTTAAATCAACCTCTTTTTTGAAAATTTTAAATTACTTACTCAATTTGCATATGTTGCATATATATATATATATATATATATATACATATATATATGTATAAATGATGAGAATTTTTTTATGGAAGTTTGATCGTTGGAAGTAAACAGAAACAGAGCAAATAAAATAAGATTTGCAAAATATGGCATGGAAGCAGGAGAAGGATATGCAACCTACAATCTACACTAGACATGTTAATTCGTGTTATTGTGTCATATTTTGTATTAGAGATGATTTTAAATATAACACAAGTAATTTTGACACAAACATAATACAAATACATGAATAATATATATAATTTAAATATGAACACGATACATTTATTATATGTATTATATATAATATGATACGATTAATATATTTAAAATTAATTTATATCCAACTAACACGACATGAAACAATTAATACGATTATATATGAATAATACAATTAGACAATATTAATTACCCAGAAAATATGACACAACTCAATATGACTAACACGATCAGATATAATTAATTCATTTATTTAAACAAAAAATATCATTTAAATTAATATTTAAATAAAAAGTTATTTAAAATTTAAATATTTATAATCTATTTAAACACTAAAATGATATAATAAACATGATTATTAATTTATTTTTTAAATAAATTAAAATAATTTTTTAAAAATTTTTATGATATGAATAGTACCATATTTTAAGCATATCATTACTGGTTGATACGAATATGATATGAATAATATTGTGTTTTAATCATGTCAACATAATTAAAACGTGAAACACGATTATACTTACACGATTTTTTCTATGTTATTTTTTTGTCATATTATTGTGTCACGTGTAAAATTATCAAATCTAATCTTACAATATATTAAAGCTATCCTTTTTTTTTATTTAAAACCAGGTTAGCTTTGTCATTAAAAATTATTCTAAGGCTAATTTTGAAAAGAATTGTGATAAGTGAGGATATTTTTTGTTTAGCTAAAAGTTGAGTGGTGCTATTTGCACCTTAATTTCTTCTCTTCGCATTCCACAACTATTAACACATATTAGTTCTTCTCTTTACACTCAAACTAAAATACAAATTTATTAAAATATCCAAAAACCTATCTCTTCACACAATCTCTCTTTTTTAACAAAAAATCTTAAATCATTTAGGGATTAAGCTTCAAATCAAGCCCTAATCACCCATTTGATGTTAGATAACTTAGAATTAGAGGTAAATCGTTTGTTTTTTTTTTTTTCCATTTTTTCATTTGATTTTGTGTTTAGTTTCAAAAAAATTATAATTATAAGTTTTGGGGTGCGATTCAAGCATTCTTGAAATAAGTTTTCAAAAATTATTAAAGATTTTCAAAAACGAATGTCCGAAAACTTTTTCAATGTATCAAAAATTCATTTCTGGAATCCCTTAAAAACTTCTAAACATTTATTTTTGAAAATTTTTAAGAATTTTCAAAAGTTTATTTTCGAAATTTCTCAATAGTTTTCGGACATTCATTTTTGAAATCCTTCAAAAATTTCAAAAATGGATTTTCAGTACACAATAACTTGGTATCGTAAGAAACATTGACTTTATTATGTTATTAGTAGATTAACAAATCTATCAATAGGGACCTCTAATCTTTCGACCACAAAGTACTGTCAGTTCAATAACGTTTGCAATATTTTTATAAATTTGATAGACGTGCATCTGAGAAGTATCATTAAGTGTGAAAAGGTGTTTATGCAAAATAACTATTGCACAATATGCTATAGAATGTGATTGCCTCATCGCACATGGTGTAGTAGCCACTTACATGAACACCTCTTCACAATTAGCAATTTCTTTTCAAATGCATATTTGTTAGAATTGAAAAAATGTTACAAATATTATTGAATGGATAGTACGACCAAAAGATTAGAAATTTTTACTTCGAATTTAAATAGCCTATACATTGAAGAAATCATTAAAGATCTGTTCAAATATCGTAACAAGAGACAACCGATATTCTAATGTTAGATATTGATCAAGAGATTGTAATAAAGAAACTGAAGTAAAAAATTACTTCTGAAAATGTATTTTTGAGTAATTACAATATTTTCTGAAAATGTATATTTGAATAATTGCAATACTTTCCAGAAATGAATTTTTGGATAATTAAAATAGTTTTCGAAAATGCATTTTTTGATACAATGAAGAAGTTTCCAAAAATTCATTTTCAGTAACTTACTAAAAAGGGTTGTGAAGGATAATAAGATAATTAATTGATAGGTATTTAAGTAATTTTCTTAAATGTTAATTTTTTAGGTTGTATTGAAAGTTTTTCAAGGTACAAATAGCAATACTCTTAAAAGTTTTGCATTAAGCCTCTATTTAAACAGTTATACACAATGAACAAAGGGAGCAACAAAAAATAAGTAAAAAGAAATTCAGGAACACAATCAATGAGATAATCAGCTGTTAGTAGCGAGAAATCTATAGTCAACAATAAACACAAAAACCCAAATCCATAGAACACAGAAACAATTTCTAAAACCTATTACAAAGGCAATTAGCAATTGCAATCAACAATCAAACTCAAAGAGCACAAACAAAAAAAATCAATAAGCAAAATAGTCACACAATAACTACAATCAATCTAGGAGAGATACTTATAGGCAAAATACGAATAATCAATGAGACAACCTCCAAGCAACTCAGAAGTGATATCAGTAAACCTAGAATCAATAATTGAAACTCAACCATAACTACTATACAATAAACACATAAGTAACACACAATGTCAATAAAAATCATTCAGCAAAAAATGCATGGAGTTTTCTTTGGGGTTTGGTGAGACAAATTCATGAGTTTCTTTTAGTGTTTGGGATTGAAAAAACAGAGAGAAAGATAGCATTGTTGAAGCTAAATAGGTTATTTTAAGTGTTAAAAGTAGTAATTGGTGGTGAAAAGAAATTGCAATCCTAATGTTCTAAGCTTTGTGCTTTTTTTTAGGGTTTTTTTTTTTTTTTTTGGTTAACTATGATTGAAAGGAGAGAGTGGAGGAAAATGTGAACCTTTTTAATGGCTACAATGGCCAATGATAAGAGGAAATGGTAGTTGGTGGCTAAGGTCTCAAAATGTTTGAGAGAGAAATAGAAAATGATGTCACCAAAAGAGAAAAGAAGAAGCAAAATAATTAGGCTTTAGTTGTTTTTATACTCATATGTCAAATGGTTACGTATTGAATGGATAGTAAAAATCAAAACAAAACATAGAGAATAGAACGAAGGGGAATCAAGTCAAGTTGGTTTGAGGTGGAGCTTTTATTCCAAAATTTTTGTATGCTTTTTTTTTTTCCTTTTTTTATTTTATTTTCTTATTTAATTCTTTATTATATATTTATTTATTTACTTATTTATTTATTAAAAAAATATTTTAATTATTTGATAATAAAAAAATAAAAGAACAAAATATGATTTAATAAATTTGTAAATTTAATTTTTTGTTTAAATAAAAAATTCCACTCTCACAACAATATAAAGACAAAAAATAAAAATAAATTAATTAAATTAATTTCCTTAAGTAAATGAAATAAAGATATTTGTGTTAACTTTCATAAGTGAAATAACATATATTTTATTAGAAATATTTTATTTCATACTGTTAGTTATAATTAAAAAAAAACTGAAAGTATGAAAATAATATATTAAATTAAATAAAATAAGATTAGATAATACATTTAAAATATTTACTTATTTTATGGGTAATATATTTTTATAAAAAATGATATAATGCATGAAAATTATATTCGTACTTAAATTTATTTTTTAAGTATAATAATTAGTTTTACATTTTCTAAAACAAAAAGTTAACAAAAAATGCGAGTGTAGTGTTAGTATAGGGACCACGATACGTAATTTACTCTTACAGGGAAAGTATTTATTTCAATAAGTTGTGATTAGGTTGGAACAAAATTATACTTGGGTCCCACACATTTGCATTTTAGAGATGCAGTCGTGTAATGAAAGCATTGGAAGAATGGATAGAACCACAGAGATAGGAACCGAAGGAAAAGAAGGTCAAGCACAGGTGGCTGGCTGGCTCCAACCGTTTCGGCGGAGCGTTCAATCTAACACTTCCCTCGGTTCCATCGACATTTTTCTCCATATATCTCTACTTTCTCCTCTATTCCCCTAATTCTCACTTTCTTTTTTCTCTCTCACTGATTCTTGTTCACATCCAACTTTAGTTTGGTAACTTTCTTTCTTTCTTTCTCAGCATTTCTTTAGAATTAGATCTAATTGCCTTTTGATGCTTACACATGTAGCACTGTAACTATGGCTTAAATGGGTCTTTGTATTATAGGCCTTTTTTTCTTTTGCAATGGCAATGGCAATGGATGCTTCAATGACTATGTGCAAATCTGTCACCTCACCTCCTGTAAGTCTCTCTTTTCTATTTTTGAGCGTTGAACTTTGTTCCTTCTCTTGGATGCTTCAATCGGTCACATCAAGCATATATAACTTGATACCAGTCCTTCTTCTGTGTGGTCTACTTTCATGGATTCAATCCTGCCTAAGCTCCAACCTTTTCTAATTTCCTAGAATGAATTCTGCCAAAGCTCCAATCTTTTCCCATGCATATTGTTAAGTAAGGCTGTGCATTGCTTTATTCTGATAGATATTTAATATTATTCATTTCCAATTGAAGGGTTTATTCTTGGGGAGAAATAGAGGTATCAGGAGTTCCCAATGTACCTTTATGGTGGGAAGCAGGATCAACTTTCCTAGGCACAAAACCCAGTCAACACAAGTTAGATGTAAATCTAGTAAGCGTGGAGGTGCTCTTGCTGTTACATGCCTTGCTGAGAAAATTCTGGTGGCAAATAGAGGAGAAATCGCTGTTCGGGTAATCCGAACAGCTCATGAGATGGGAATACCCTGTGTAGCTGTTTACTCAACAATAGATAAGGATGCACTCCATGTAAAATTGGCTGATGAATCAGTTTGCATAGGTGAAGCACCAAGCAGTCAATCGTAAGTAGTCATATCTTGAGCCTCTGAGGTTTTTAAGATCAGCTTTTACCATAATTGTCTTCGCTTGTCCAACAAAATTTACTATGAGATTTTTTCTTGTTGCTGCTTCCTACATATGTCAGATGCTCCTCACTTAATTTTATTCTGTTTCATTGAATTAGGGATCTGTAATGTGAAGATTAAGAGAAGAGGGAAGGAACTGGGAATGAAACAATTACCAACATGAAATTCTGATTTTATTAAATCTGTTAGACAAGTTTCAACAAGCACTAATATATGAAAATGTACTGAAAGTCATATCAAGATTTATCTGGAAAAATATTTGAATGTAGCACTTCAATAGAATTCTAGAATGTTCTCATCATTTTGGCTACTTTCTGAGGTCTATTTATGTATAATAATAGCAATCCTCTTCCCATGCAAATAGGAAATTTAGTGTTTAAATTTTAAATTATTTCCAAATTTTGGGAGTATTCTTGAAAGAACAAATTGTTGATTTTGGCTTAAAAGTGCAAATCTGGTTAAGTTTTGGAATTCTGGTAAATTTTACAACCTTCTTCGCTTTCTTTAAGAGTTGGGCTTAATTTCATTTGGAATTCAATTGGAATTTGAAAATATGTATGAGGCCAAATAAGACCAATTATAAATATGCATGAAGTGTATTTTTGTTGTCTTCACTTGAAGAATCAAGTGTGTAACTTCTGATTAGATTTTACCCACTGCACATAGGCATATATCAAGCATTTATAAGGCATCTCTTTGTTCTTTTTCTTTGATACACATGCCTCTATTTCATAGTCTGCTTTTACAATCTTTAACTTTGTTTCAGCATTCTGTATTGTATGTATACCAATGCCATACTTTTGTGCTCAGGTTTTGTGTATTTATTCAGTTTTAGCATTGATAAGAGCAAATTTGTATGTTCAACTGTCTTTGTTCAGGTATTTATTGATTTCCAATGTCCTATCTGCTGCAATTAGCCGCAACTGTACTATGCTTCATCCTGGATATGGTTTCCTTGCTGAGAATGCAGTGTTTGTAGAAATGTGCCGAGATCACGGAATCAACTTTATTGGGCCTAATGTAAGTACACAACTATCAATTTATGTGAGAATAATTTTATTATTGGAAACTTAGTTTTTTTTCTTTTACTTTTCTAATTAATTAAAGTATTTAATATGGCATTTTTGTGCTCAAAATTAATGAATGTGCATAAAACGTTGTCCATATGGTGGATAATAATAATATATTGATATACAGAGTTATAACCTGTGCTTTCTAATGAGGCCGATGAACTTAATTTTGGTACTCTAATAATACCTTATAATGTCATTAACCATCTGCTAAATAAGGGCTACCTGAAGATAAAAGTGTTTTCAGGTTTCAAATGGATGGTGAGCTTAGAAAAGCAAATTTTGCTCTAAAGATATATTTTAATTACTGCATATTTTAGTTAGTTATGTTTACATGCAGTTCATAAATCAACTTATGAAAGGATACATCTCTTTGTTTGTTGTTTGCCCATTCTGGTGTCAAATTTTACCCTGAATGTTCACTTCTGGTGTTTTTATCTAGAATCTGAATTTCTGCAGGGAGAACTGATGTTTGACAGGATTTTATGACTTAGTTTTGTACATTTATTTTATTCTCTTCTCTAAGTTGGAGTCATTTGCTTTCAGCCTTTAATTGAAATTGATCACTACAAAATGAATTATCTGTTTGGCAGGCTGACTACCTGACATTGGGTTGTTTATTGTGGCCAGAATCTGTGTCTTGTTTCTTTTAGTTCTTTTTTTTTTAATAAAATATCCATTAAGAGATTTTCATCTGCATTGTGAATGGCTAAGTTTAGGTATTTGATGGGTTTTAAAGTAGACACTGATGTTATTCTTTTAGCTCATTTGTCCAGCTTGGATACTTTTTGGTTTTGATTCATCCTGAATCCTAAATTAAAGGAATGATTCTGGCTATGCTTTGGCAGCCTGACAGTATTCGTGTTATGGGTGACAAATCGACTGCCCGAGAAACAATGAAGAATGCAGGTGTTCCTACTGTTCCTGGAAGTGATGGATTGTTACAGGTATTATATTTGGCCAATTGTTTGCGTATGCAACCTCAAACATAGTATTTAGTCAGTTTGCAGTTCCTTGGTTAACTTTCTGTTTATTATAGAGTACAGAGGAAGCAATCAAGCTTGCCCATGAGATTGGCTTTCCTGTGATGATCAAGGTGATTATTCTGCTCACAAAAAATCAACATATGTTCTGTTATCAGTATAATTTACTGGTTGAACATGGGAGTTTGGTACCTTTTCTGGCTACTCAACTTAGGTTTTATTTAATTCAAAGATTAAGTATTCAAAAAGAAACAAATCTAGCAGACATGCATGTTGATTGAGAAAGTAACCTAAAATTCTAAAATTGTTATAGCCTTGTTCATAGGAAGAATAGACATTAATGTAAAGCAGAGCCAGCAATAGTAATGAAGAAGTAATCATTTTTTGTATTAAAACAAAATCATTTGATTTTTGAGTCCTATCCAAGTATGGAGTTCATAAACCTTGCTTTTGCTCTGGCTGTCGCTTCTCTAAAATCAATGCAAAATCTAACATCTTATTGATCACTTTTTGAACATGATTTGGTGTTCATTTAATTGCTCCCAGACATTTTAGTGGTTCAAATGTTTTTCTTTGTTAAAAGATGCAGCAAAAATCTTTTGTTCTTTTGCTGGCACTGCTGTCAAAATGCAGTTATGAAATATGATTTTGAATGTCAAGAGGGTACTGTTATTTGTGAAACTGCATAGAAATCTTCTTAGCCAATAAACTTTTAGTAATTTATTTTTAATTCTTTTATGCATTCAAGGCCACAGCTGGGGGTGGAGGGCGTGGAATGCGTCTTGCTAATGAGCCTGATGAGTTTGTGAAGTTACTGCAGGTATTACTTCAAATATCAGGTGCTACAACTATTTTAGATGATGAAATATCTCCCTTTTGAAGTTTTTAGTTATGTGTAATTTATTTAATTATAAGTTGATTGCCATTTGGCTCATGACTGTTCTCTTCTTTATTTTTTTCTTTTTCCCCTCCTGGGGCAGTACAGAACTGATGTACTTATGGAATAGATCCTTATTCTTGTTTGACTTAAATGGTGTGCTTGGGTTAGTTATAAAATTTGTTGAGAAGCAGAGTGAAAAATGAAGAAAAGAAAATGAAAAGAAAGAACAAAAAAAGAGTACCACTTCTATTGTCTATACAATCCAGCAAAATGCTTCAATGCTCTACTGAATGTTTCCATTTGATCCATTTTGTACTTTTTTGGGGTGTGGTGGAGTGTCGAACTTGGAAACTCTTCTCAGTCCCGTGGCACTTCAGCCCACCTGCTAAAAGGGGCTGTGGGACCATGGTGTTACCCCCAAGCTTAAGGGATCAGTAAAGTCTGCCTTTGTTTTGAGAATAATATTTTGCCACCTTTTTCTATTGGCCTTATCCCCTAGTTACAGTTAGTTATAATTGTTAGACATTATATGCAGCCTGTGGCGGAAGCAAACCTAGAATCAACAGGGAAGACAAGAAAGTAAAGAGAAAAAAAACTTAACTCTCTCTGTCTATATCTCTATCTTTGTGATCATTATTGCCCATTTCTGCCTTTATGATTTAATTCTGTCCGACTGCCCCATGGGAATTTGACCCAGAGGTGCTCAGGTTGGTTGCTTTGCAGCATGAAGCAGTTGGTTACAGTTATGGTAGAAGGAACTTGCTATGTCAGCCACATGAAGAAACCTTTAGTAACATTAAATATTGATTTTTCAAATCTACAGTACTTAATTGAAGTCAATCAATTGGAAGGACGTTCAACCTTGTCCAGGACTTGTAATCGTACCATATTTTTCCTAGATTTCATTTACTAGCTTGATGGAACCATTGTTTTCTCAGGAATGTTTCTTTGATCTACTAGATTTTTTTTTTTGTCATTTCACATCATTTCCTATCAATATTTTGTATAACCTGTGGTGTGAAATTTCTCAGTTTATTTTTTATATATACTCTTAAATGCTAGTTAGATCTCACGGATTAATATAAATTTTTATGTTACCAAAAAAGATTGGAGTATGCATTATCTAAGTGAAGTGTATCTGTACTCAGTTTTCATTTGATCTCTACATTTTCCAGCAAGCCAAAAGTGAAGCTGCTGCTGCATTTGGAAATGATGGAGTTTATTTGGAGAAGTACATTCAAAATCCAAGGCACATTGAGTTCCAGGTAATTAGTCTGTGCTTGTATAGGTTCCTTCCACTTCATGGGCTTGAATCAGTTTAAGAATGTAAATCTGGAAAGCATTTTAGTGTAGCTAGATCACTCCTTTATAGCTAGAATGTTTTCTTGGTTACATTATGTAATTTGTAATTTGGAATATTATATGTGCTAGGAGAATGTTACATCTTTCCTAGCTTTCATTGATGGCTTCATCTGTTGGAAGACTTGTGGCATGCATTGCAAACTGAGCTATGGTTTAGCTATAGTGCCTTTATAAGAGTATAGACTACATGCAAGTTGCAATTTTCTTATGCTACGTGATATGGTTTTGCAGGTTCTTGCAGATAAACATGGTAATGTTGTTCACTTTGGTGAGCGTGACTGCAGCATCCAGGTACTGTTACCATGCTTAGTCCTCTCTAACTTTGCAACATCTTGTTTTATCAAACCAATTCATAAAGAAATCACTTTTAACCATAAATAGAAAAGAGCTACTTAATTTGAAGGCTGAAGTTCTATGAAAAGGTAAAATCATCCGTAGCTACTCATTTAGATTTTCATTTTTAAAGTTTCTCCATTCATCCAAATTCTTTGTGATGTAGGATATATTTGAAAAGGCTCGCCTACTTATGTGTATGGTGGACTAGGGTTGGAAAACTAGGGATCTTAAGACTTGTGGCTCTTGTATGAATTAGGGTTAGGAATCAAATCGGGTTTGAATCAATTGAGATTTTATCTCGATAGAATGGTGAAACTGAAGGAGAAAGGTTTGCTAGACATTATGGGCGGCAAAGAATATTAGGAATTAGGATTTAGTGGTTAATTGAGGGGTTCGGCTGGTGGAAAATGATAGGAACTTTGAGGCCAGAATTAGGGTTGAAAGTTGTAAGGAAGGGAATGTAATTTTGGTTTGAATGAAGATTGGTGATTCTGGGCATTCATTCCTAAATAGACCAAACCATGCTGAAATCTAAAGATTTTAGTTATAATGGTTCTAGACAAGTATTAAAAATCTAGTAGACCTAGGATTCCTACTACAAAGTTTACCAAAAAGTAAGGAGGGCACATGAAATTCAATGATTCACTTATGAATGCTTGTTTTAGATGGTCCTAGATTAGTCCTAGATCAATTAGAATTAGGATGCCTAAGGGAAAATTTAACTCGTTAAAAAGGACGGTTTGTTTGGTTGTTAGTTTTGCTACTTGGTTTAAGCACAAAGCAAAAAGTGCATTTGGATGTGAAAGTAAGAAAAATTCTTGAAGAATTAAACATTTAACTTTCATGAATAACAAAAAGTATGATTTTACTATTTTATGAAACAACTATGTTTAAATTGATGTTTCACTTTAACCTTTCCTCATTTTTAACAAATATAGTCTTCTCTTTTAGTATTTGTTTATATTTTATGCCAACTTTATGAAAGTAAAAATAATTAGCTGAAGCAACACCTAAATGGAGCCTAAATAACCAATTTGGACCCGGGAAACTTTACTGTTAGAAACTCCTTAGGTAATCTGAACTTGACAAGCTACCCCTTGGGTACATAACTTGGAAAATTGCAATTTTGCCCCTCTAGGGGAAAATAGCTAAAGTTTTAAAGAGAAAATCCTTTTGTTAGTACAAAAATTATAAATATGAAAGCAAATAAGTTTAATTTTGCTTGGCTTCATCAACTCTGATTCTCAAACAGATCTGATCACCATTTCCTGTTGGTAATGGAATCATCTTACTCATTATAATAGTCTCCAAATATTGCATTCTTCTTTTAAAAGGTGCAAACATGCTTACAAAGGCAACAAGGTTGGTGGCTATTTCTCAAATCTTTGCTGCCGCATGCAGATGTGCTAAATATTAACCAAACTTTTGACAGCACAAATTTCTCTGTTGTCCCCCCCCCCCCCCTCTTAATTGTTAATAAAAGGAATAACTAGCTTACTGGCTCAAAATGTTGTTGAATGTGACTTACTATACAGAGACGTAATCAAAAACTTCTAGAAGAGGCACCTTCTCCAGCATTGACACCAGAGCTGCGGAAGGCCATGGGTGACGCAGCAGTTGCTGCAGCAGCATCCATTGGTTACATTGGTGTAGGAACTGTTGAGTTTCTTTTGGATGAAAGAGGTTCCTTTTACTTCATGGAAATGAACACTAGAATCCAGGTTGAATAAAGATTGGGAACTATGATTCATGAATTACCTATTAGTGGATTAATTAGAAGTACTACTAAATGTGTATTTTCAACAATTAAACTCAGGTGGAGCATCCTGTAACTGAAATGATTTCCTCTGTTGACTTGATTGAAGAACAAATTCGTGTAGCTATGGGAGAAAAACTTTGCTACAAACAGGTACTGAAATGAAATGTTTCAGCTAAAAGTTTTGGAGCATAAAACACAATGTATTCAACTGCTCATTAAATTATATTTGCAGGAAGATATTGTGCTTAGAGGACACTCAATTGAATGTCGTATCAATGCAGAAGATGCATTTAAAGGATTCAGACCTGGGCCAGGTATGCATATAGTATGCGTTTTGTGTTTACATGCTAATTATTGTTGCAATGGTTTCATTTTTGGTACTTGCTACCATCCAAGCCTTTACATTGTTGCCTTGTATTTGAAAGTTTTCCTTTGTTCCTCTGCACTGGATTCATTCAAGCTTGCATATGATCTTTTTGACCACTTTATTAGGTGTAAGCTTCATGTTATATTGACATTATAGGCTATATTGTTTCTTTTACCTTTGTTTTTTTTTTTTTTCAACTTTTGAGGTTTATACTCAATTCTTTCCTCAATTTCTACTCTTGGGTGTGGTTTCAAACAACCAAAAGAATAGGAGGTAAATGGAAGGACTTGGTCTAATATTCAATATTGTAAATACCTCCTCTGCTTTCTGAATGTCAGGGAGAATAACATCATACTTGCCATCTGGAGGCCCATTTGTTCGAATGGATAGCCATGTTTATTCTGATTATGTAGTTCCTCCAAGCTATGATTCATTACTTGGAAAGGTATGTAATACCTTTCTTATACTATTCATGTTTATGACATGTAAGATTATGTATGTATGAGCAGTTTGATGTGAACCCTTGAAGGTCAAAGAAAGTTTATTTTGGAAGAGGAGAATTCTAAAACTTTGTTTCTAGAAAGAGTAATAAGAATACAATAAATTGTCTTGTTTCAAGGTGCACATAATAAAATGCATTATTTTTTGAACTTTGCCAACGCCATACTTAACATGGTAAAATATAAAGCAAAGTTTCATGTAGAACTGCATGCATGTTTTGATTCATGTTGTAAGGTGCTGCAGTTATTTTCTCAGTACTTTTAACATTGCCATGCTTATGGGGCTGCTTCTCTGAAATGAAAATTTTACCTTTGACATTGTTCTTCTATCTACTCTGTTGTAGCTTATTGTATGGGCTCCAACAAGGGAAAAAGCAATTGAGCGTATGAAAAGGGCTCTTGATGACACTGTAATTACAGGTATTTAGTTGTTGACCAAGAGTTTACTGTTTGGATTTTGTTTGGTATGCTGTACTATTTTGTGTCATTTGCTTTTTTCATATTTTCTTAGTCAATTCTTGTAAACATTCTGGTACATGAGGTTGCTTGGGACTATAGGAGAAGATACCTTTAAATAGAAAAAAAGTGACTCTCTGCATCTGCTTGAATGAATAGCTACCACCATTGACCATTGTCATTGTGGCCCCTGTTTGTTAAATTGGTGCTACATGCATTAATTGAATATGCTTGTATCAAAAAGAGTTGCTCTATTTTCTTTTGTTCGGTCTAATTTTGTTATCTAGCTAAATTCTATATATCAAATAATCTCCTAGTCCATACTTATTGTTTCAGGGGTTCCGACAACGATTGAATACCATAAACTCATCCTTGATATTGAGGTTGGTGGTGCTATCTTGTTAATGTCAGATGTGTATGTTTAGTTGGAGGATATTATGCTATTAGTTTTAAAATTAATTAATCTATCAAATATGCAACACTTTACAGGACTTCAGAAATGGAAAGGTTGACACTGCTTTCATTCCAAAACATGAAGAAGAGTTAGCAGCGGTGAGAAGTTGATTCATTTTTTTAAGAATGCAGTTTGTACTTTTTAATAAGTTTTTATACCTAAAGAGTTAGTTGTTAGGACTTAGGAGGCTGAACATGTCAGATGATATTGACTGAAACTTAAGGTTTTGTTTTCAGAGTCATGGTGTATTCCCCATTTCTTAGTTTGCATTGCAACAATCTTACTAAAATGGGGCTCTTATTCTTTAGACAATCTATTTGTATACTGCAATCCTCTTGAATCTTGATAGTCCTGGACCTTCACAATAGCATCATCCTTCATAATTTACAGAAAGCACATGATATTAACTTTCCTTTTCTTAAAAAAAAAAAAAAGGCCTTTGATTTATTTTCTAAAAAACATAGGTACGAGGATAATATTTTAATGAAACTGCTATAACTAAGATTTACTTTTGCCACTTTTTTCCACTTCTGCTACTTGCAATGCATTATCTCTTTCTGCTTCAGTAAAAGTAGTTGCAAAATTCAAAAACATATTTGGTGGAAAATTAGCCAATTGGTAACATTCAACCATATTGGTTAATGGTTATACATAATACAAAACACAATACTTTTTTATGCACCATTTCAATTACTTGGGGAGACCATCGCGATAGATATTCTATGATTTTTGAATTACTAATAAAGCTACTTTCAACCTCTTTCTTTTGTGCCTGCAGCCACATCAAATGGTACTAGCAACCCCTGCCAAAGAATTGGCAAGTGCAACCGCTTAGATGGGTTAGTAGTCTTCTGTTTTGTGGTATGAGCCTTGTAGCTGTCAACTTGTCATTCCTTCAACTGCCTTTTTCATTTGAATGTATTGCATTCAGGTTTGAACCTTTGTAATATTGCCAGTGCGTTGCATATGAGAATTTGTATGAAATCTTGATAATCACCAAGGTTTCTTTCATTCAATACTGGAAATGTTTGCATAAAGATGTAGAATCTTTGATATATTTACTGCAGTTAAAAAACTGTTAGAAATGACTAGTTGGAAATGTTTTTCTTCTTTGTTTGTTCCTAGTGATGATTCATGAACGTAAAGTAGATTCACAGAGATGGATGAAAGTGGTCGGTCATCAAGCTTCCTTTTTGTCGTTCAGTGTAGCAGCTGGGATTCCAACTACTTGTTTACTCAAATGCAATGCAAACGCATGCTGCAAGTGTGTGCCATGTTTTATGGGTGTGTTTAATAAATTCTGTTATCGATGATTGGGGCTGCTGTCATAGTGCCTGGAACATTTATGCCAGGGAACAACTAAGTGCAATATGAATTGCCAAACTTTCCAAACATGTGACTTCTATCATACGTTACTTAAGAAAGTTTTAAAGTTTTAGTTGTAATTTAAGAAAATTGGTGTCAAAGCTAGTTACGAATATGGTACATTCATTATTTTTGGGCGAAAGTGTTTTTCTACTAAAGTCAACATACCAGCCAATTGCCGTACATATTACTGAATTTGTAAGTGATAACGCCTGGAATTTACTCTTAAAACAACAAACTCTAATGTAATACATAACATTTTACTACATATAAGATGCAAGCCTTTCCCTTCAATGCCAAAAGGAAATCATCTCATTATTTTTATTTTCCGTCAGATTTCGTTTACTACAAAATTCTGCATGCTGCAAGTATGAGATTTGTTCAAACATCCTTCACCACCCTCTTTTCCTTTCCCTTTTTTTTTTTTTTTTTTAATTTATGTATTGGTAAGTTAATGATTGAATAATTGCCTTTGGGGTGGGAACCCCAGCGAAAATCACTCACAGCAGCCGAAGTGGTTTCCCTTTCCCGACTTCAGCCCCACGTATTTCTTGTTGATCATCACTTGTAATTTGTTTGTCACGGCACTCTGCGCTGCAAAACGCTTTTTCCCCTCTGCAAAAATGATGCTCCACCCAATAATAAATTTATCGGTGAGGACTTTTGGAAAAGGAAATCTTGAAAGTTCAAGGCTATGAAAATCAACACCGCATGCATAAGCAAACTTGTATTATTATTATTATGTATTTCGCTATAAAAAAATCATCTCATGCAAATGGGAATCAAAACAGCTAAATTTAGGAAAAACATGAGCCAAACACAGCTCCAAGTACACGTTTTCCACCCGATTGAACTTTTATAAAAACACACAGAAAAGCTACATCATCGCTCTGGCTCTTCATTTTCCATGAAGTACTATGTCTATTTATCACGTATGTTAGGGATATGGGTATGTACTTCTAACTGTCCAATTATTAGAAGAACTTGGAACTTTTCTCATATCCGACAATGCTCCCCAAGTCCAAGCAATAGAACACAAAAACAAAAGGAACCCAAACGCTTGAATCTAGAACATACAACAGATAGACTACACTTGAAAAAAAAAATGAAATGAAATACACTTTTAAAACTAACTGCAAAAGCTACAATTGGACACTGTAAGTCAGCGTCAATTCAAAGTATGAACAAAAAAACAATACCTGTACATGAAAATATCCAAACCATGAAGCTCCTTCTCGCAAAGATGACAACGAGTCAAAAATTCATCAGACGAAAACTCCCTCCTGAATTGACCCATACTATTTTTTCTAGGCAAAGAAGAAGCAGTGAAAACACTGCAATTCTTCTTGTCATCGCCAATGTAAGCATGCTTCTGTTAAGAAAATGGGGTCCAGTCCCATGTAAGTGGTTTTAGACTAAGTAAAGGCCATGGGCCTTGATCTTTTATTTTACACAGAGCCCTAGCTACTTAATAAAAAAAGAGGTGGGGTTGTTTTAGGTGTGTGTCGAAAATTAAGTAGAAAAAGAAGAAAAGCCAGAAAAAGCAGAGAGAAAAAAAAGAGAAGGGAGAGTTGGATGAACGGAAGTCGATCCGTGGTCCGATTGAGTTGAAACCTTGTCAGGAGGTTTATGATTCAGAGTTCTACATTCTGAACGGTGAAGATCTGGTTTGAAGCTCTCTAGGAACAAATCCAGGGTGTATTTGTTGAGTCACTTATTTAGTGTGATTTCTCCAATTGTTTCTCTAGTTGTTGATTAGCTCTAGTTTTAGCTAGAGAAGAACTTTGTATAACTATTATTTGATAGTGAAGATTTTTCTGGTGGCCCGTGGTTTTTTCCCTCTACACTGGAGGGTTTTCCACGTAAATCTTGGTGTGCTTTATTTTTCCTGCGTATTTGATTATTGATTGTTGTCTATTGTTTCTGTATTATTGTGATTATTGCTTCAGGCACAACAAGTGGTATCAAAGCGAAGGTTATTTTGAGACATTGATACAAAAGTAACCCAGGATAGAAGTAAATTTTGTTTGAGATCATGGAGGGTGATACAAGTTCAATGATAAAATTGACAGCATCGAATTATTCAATTTGGAAGCCTATGATGGAGGATCATCTATACTGCAAAGATTTGTATGAGCCAGTATTGGGTGATTCGGCTAAACTAGCGGATATGAAATATGAAAGCTGGAAGAAGCTAGGTAGAAAGACGCTGGCTACAATCAGAAAATGGGTTGATATCAGCGCGTTTCATCATGTAGCACAGGAGTCAGATGCTCACATTGTTTGAAAAAAATTGGCAGTATTGTATGAGAGAAAAACAGGTATGAATAAAGTTATGCTTGTTAAAAAGCTTGCAACTTTACAGTACAGGGATGAACGATCTGTTACAGAGCACTTGAGTGATTTTCAAGATATATTTAATCGGATGACTACTATGGAGCTTAAAATGGATGATGAAATGAAGGTATTATTTTTTTTAGGTTCATTGCCAGACAGCTGAAATACTCTAGTTGTGACTGTTCTTAATTCAGCTCCTGATTATAAGGTGACATTGGAGATGGCAAAAGACAGTATGCTTAATGAAGAAGCAAGGCGAAAAGATGTAGACCCTAGGAATCAAGCTCTGGTTACAGAGAACAGGGGTAGAAACATCGACAGAGGTCAGGACCCAAAAGGTCGTGGTAAGTCTAAACATAAATCTAAGTCTAGAGGTAAAGTAAAGTGTTTCTATTGTGGTAAGGCAGGTCATATAAAATGAAACTGTAAAATCTTGAAGCAAGAGCGAAAAGATGAGAAAGGTAAGAGTTCAGATGATGGCAATGTTGCAGTAGTGAATTCAGATAGTGATTCAGTTATTTTGATTTGTACACATGGTGATTGTAATCATGTTAGTGATCCCGACATTGAGTGGATAGTTGACACAGAAGCGACATATCATTGTGTTCCTAAGAGAGAGTTGTTTACAACTTATAAAGCAGGAGACTTTGGTTGTACCAAGATGGGAAACAAGAGTGTGTCACAGATTGTTAGGATTAGTGATATTATTGTACAAACTAGTACAGGCTGTATATTGACTTTGAGGGATGTCAGACATATTTTAGATATGAGAATGAACTTGCTTGCTATTAATGTCCTTGATAAGGAGGGATATGAAAGCCGACAAAAGAATGGACAGTGGAAGTTTCTCAAAGGATCTATGGTAGTTGCAAAAGGAAAACTATGCTGCACAATGTATAAGACATAGATACAATTGAACGGTAACCAAGTAAATACCATTGAAAATGATGCTTCAACAAACTTATGGCATAGGAGGCTGGCACACATGAGTGAAAAAAGGTTACAAGTTTTGGCAAGGCAGTATCTCATTCCTTTGACCAAAGGTATGTCTCTCGATTCATGTGATTATTGTTTGTTTAGTAAGCATCATAGAGTTTCTTTTCGTAAAAGTTCTCAGAGAAAAGAAAATAGATTGGAATTAATTTATTCTGACATATGTGATCCCATTGAGGTTGAGTCATTAGGTGGTAGTAGATATTTTGTTACTTTTATTGATGATGCTTTACGTAAGACTTGGGTGTATATGTTGAAATACAAAAGTCAGGTACTGTAGTATTTTCAAAAATTTCATGCCATGGTTGAAAGGATGACAGGGTTACCCTTGAAGTGTATTCAAATTGATAATGGTGGAGAATACACATCTAAAGGCTTTGAAGAGTATTACTCAAAGCATGAGATTAGGCATGAGAGGACAGAACCTGAAACACCGCAGCATAATGGTATAGCTGAAAAAATGAATCGCACCATTGTGGAAAAAGTCAGATGTATGTTGAGGATGGTAAAATTGCCAAAGTCATTTTGGGGTGAAGCAGTCAACACAGCTTGTTATTTACTTAACAGGTCACCATCAGTTCCTTTGGGCTTTGACATTCCAGAAAGAATGCAGACAGAAAAAGATACTTCATACTCTCATTTGAAAGTTTTTGGATGTAACACATTCATGCATGTGTCAAAAGAGCAGAGATCAAAGCTTGATAGTAAAGCCACACAATGTGTGTTTGTAGGATATGGTGATGAAGAATTTGGTTACAGGGTATGGGATCCAGTAAAGAGAAAGACAGTCAGAAGCAGAGATGTGATCTTTCATGAAAAAGAAACCATAGCAGACCTTGAGAAAAATGAGAAGACTATACGAGTTACTGTTGAGTGTGATGTTTCAACACCGACAAGGATTCCACAGGAAAGAGCCACAGATGGTGAAAATGAGCAAGAAACAGAACTTGGGGATATGAATGAGCCAGCCACAGTTGGTGATGAGCCAGATGCTATTAGTTTTGAGCAGGGGGAGCAATCTTTTCTACCTGAGAGTGTTGAGCAGAGGGAGCTACCTTCGACATCAAGTGATGTAGAGTCTCAACCCAAGAGATCTACTAGAGAGCGCAGATCATCTACCAAATATCCAAGTTTAGATTTTATTTTAGTTACCAGTGAAGGGGAGCACAAAGCTTTCAAGATGTGCAGGCTACTCCGGATAGAGAGCATTGGTTAAAAGTAATGAAAGAAGAGATGGAGTCATTGCGAAAGAATGGTACTTATGATCTTGTTAAACTTTCAATAGGGAAGAGGCCATTAAAGAATAAATGGGTGTTCAAGTTGAAAAAAGATGGTGACAAACTAGTGAGGTACAAAGTTCCATTGGTAGTAAAAGGTTTTTCTTAGAAACCAGGCATCGATTTTGATGAGATTTTTGCTCCAGTTGTAAAAATGAGTTCTATTCGAGTGGTACTGGGATTGACAGCTAGTTTGAATCTTGAACTTAAGCGACTTGATGTTAAAACTGTATTTTTACATGGTGATTTGTAGGAGGACATTTATATGAATCAGCATGAGGGTTTTGAAGTGAAAGGGAAAGAGCATTTAGTTTGCAAATTAAAGAAAAGCTTGTATAGCTTGAAACAAGCTCCACGACAGTGGAACAAGAAGTTTGATTCTTTTATGGTGAGTCATAGCTATAAAAGAACAGCAGCGGATTCTTGTGTGTATGTTAAACAATTTCCTAATGGTAACTTCATTATCTTATTATTATATGTTGATGATATGTTGATTGTAGGACAAGATGCTAGTGTGGTTTGCAAGTTGAAAGAACAATTGTCTAAGTCCTTTGATATGA